AAAATGTTTTATCCCAAAGTGATATGACATAGCAAGTGATCAGAATAGACGCTCTGATCTATTCGGATTCCCTCAGATATTAGATGTGTTGACACATATGGAAAGGTCATTAATTTTACATTAATCATGCAGATTTCAGATGATTCTGCTCTCTGATTCAGATGGGTACATGGGCACAGTAAACTGTAAGCCTTGTACTCTATATTATGCTGTAGTGAAAGATTGGGGTGGTGGCTCTGTCCTCTCTCTCTGTGGCTGCGGCTGATAGTACTGCTGCAGGAGGAAGGCTGACTGCTCGACGTTACATAACCACATGTACAAATTCACCCAGAGAGAGGAGGGTGGGGGTGGAGGGTGATACGGCTCAGAGACTGATGGAGAGAGATCGAAAAGACTCTCGCAGAGAGAGAGAGAGAGAGAGAATGGAAGAGAAAGTGTAAAGAATCCAAAATGAATGACAACTTTTATCCTTGTATAAACTTGGTCTACACTTTATTACTACTCAATTTTAGTCTGTACAAGTGGTCCTAATGGTGGCAGACTGTTCATGAATCTCTTCCAGAAATGGGTTTGAGTCATTTGAGGAAGGGGATTTTTCTACTAAAATTGAAAAGCTGCTGCACTCATTTACACTCAGATCAGTTTGACTTTGAAGCAGTTAAAAGTGTAAATCTACACTAATTTTTCTTGTAAAGAATAAATGTATATTTACATTGTGTTACTCACCAAATCTCATTTTGTGAATCCTTGAGATCCAACAAATGCATTTCCGTCCTCTTAAAACATGTGCAGAGCGCATTTTGCCTTTTAAATACAGCATTGTTTCCATTGATGTTTACTAGCTAACACTCTTCTTCTTCCCTGCCTTTACACCCTACAGTTGATGTAGATTATTTAAACCATGTCAACATTATTTCTCTAACCACGTAGTTTAAGCTGCCTGAATTTAACCAGAATTTATCCGGCAGATCACAAAATGCATGTATGAGTCAATGCTCTGGCTCTGCAATTTCACTGCCAAAATGCTTGTTGGAGGTGGGATTTCTACATTGCACTGTGTTGAGTTTCTCCTTCTTAGTTGGTGTAGGCTACTACAAACAATGGTGACTGAAAGTGTTCGAATGATCAATGTTGAAGAGCAGTTACTTTTAGTGAAATTACTAAAGCGCAGAAACGAGAGAAGGCGTCGGAGGAAATGGTATGTCCGACCCTTGAACCAGTTGAGGCAGAAGAAGGGCAAGCCGGAAATGCTCAGGAGGAAAAGCGATCCTACCAAGCTGACCAATCACAGTTCTTGTGGTCTGCGTCACAGCAACTCGTTACATTTTTGGGGAGATGTGTGACAGACTACGGCGTAGATTCAATGCAGAAGTATAAATTGGCCTTTTGGCTCTCTCCTGTATGATTCATTGTTATTACTATGTAAGTTTATTACATAGTTTTTACGGTGTAATAACTGCTGTTTAAGGATATCAGGAGCCTACTAGTCAACAAACACTTTAAATTTTTTTCATCTCATTATCCCAGGCTTCTGACAGTCAAAACAATACGATTGAAATTCAAGGCGGGTCAGGGAAGATCGGTGGTCTCCCCTCTCTCTCTTCCAGGTGGGAATGTGTATGAGTGATACACAAATGTTGCATCATTTCCATCTGTCAGAATGCATCATCATCCACACTTTACATTGTCATTTTAATTATCTAGCAGCCACTGTTATACAGAGTGACTTACAATGAGTGCAACAGTAGAATGAGCTTTGATACCATATTTCATGAATGACTAGATCTGATACCAAATCACAGAAGATTACAGGAAACCAAAAGCAAAGAGTGCTAAAGTAAGTATGTTAGTGCGTTTACAATTATGATGTAATCCTGTAATCTATAAAAGCGGTGCTCCGAAGACAAACAGACAAAGAACAGAAGAACAATTTGTGCAAATGGTCACATACAATTACGGACCTGCAACAATGTTGAATTAAATGTCAAATACACACTGCACATAGATATCCACCAATCTCACTAGAAATCTCCCTCTTTATTGGCTAAATAGCTAATTAGGAAGCTGATCAAACATCTTAAATTTGTGTACTTACAGAACAGGAGCAACTGGTTTTGACATGCATTTAGGGCATTTAAAGGGTAAGGCTACCAATTCTATATATTTTCCCTACTGTCAATGAACCCCATGAAAAAAGCATAAACCAACAATGAATTGAAATACTTTCTGTGTAATTACAATGTAGCACTTGCCAGACTCTGGTAAATCAAATTGAAGTTGTTTGTATTTCTTTATTTTTCTGTTGTACACATACTACTACTGTTGAGCTGATTACGAATATGATTTGGGCTGAATGGATCCAGTAGGACAGTCGTAGTGTGTGCAGGACAGTGTGTGATATGTAAAGACTAAAAAAATTTATAAATACAAGCCAATAAAGCCAATTGAATTGTATTAATCCTAATCTTTAGTCTTTTAGATGTAGTCACAGCCAGTCATTCTCATAAACATTTACCAACAACGTCACATGTGTCACATGTTTGTCCGAAGCTCAAGTGTACCTCACATTACATGTACAAACACACAAGTCCACAGCAGAGATGGGGACTCGAGTTAGAGACTCGGACTCGAGTGCGACTTAAGTCGCACACACAGTGACTTGAGACTCGACTTTAGACTCGTTCTCAAAAGACTTCAGACTCGACTCGGACTCGAGGTGCGGGACTCGTGAACAATGTTTATTTTTTAGGAAATTTCTGATGACCTTGCTGTTATTCCCCTCCCTGCGTTACCTATAACCTGCCTACGTAACATGTAGCATCAGCTGCGCGCGGCTACATGTGAGAGAGGACAACAAGCACCGGCATCTGCCGCGTCATTCATTATAAACTTTGGCTTTAAAACTTAATACAACAAGGCCCAAAAAAAAGAAACGCTTAACGCAAATAGGTTAGTAACCTGTGGTGAGTAAACATGTTTAGCTCAGCACTGGCCATCTAACGTTAGCTTGCTTCTTGCTTCAGCTACGACCTACGAGAGGTTTACTCCGACTGTCGTTCATTAAGAAATGATGAACGAGCGTTTGTTTACTTGCCAAAGTGTGGTGGTCAATTAATGTAATCCTTTACGTCCCGCTGGCTGCCATCACGTTAATTAGTACCGTTGGCTAGAAAGAGGTTTCAGGTTTATTGTTGATCATGTAACCTTACAGTTTTATTTAGTTATAACGTTATACTGGGTTTGAGAGTCTGGGGGATGTGTTGACTTACAGTAGTTTATAAGCTGTCATTAACTGCATTGCACATTACATGGTTGTGCTCTATAAGTTAAAAACAGGTTACAGCTTTATTGTTGACCATGTAACTTTACAGTTTCATTTAGTTAACTTTACACTGGGTTTGAGAGTCAACAGGGTTTGTTGACTTACAGTAGTTTATAAGCTTATAATAGGTCATTAAGTGTAGACGCATTGTACAAAAGACTACATGGTTGTGCAACAGTTTTATTTAGTTAATGTTACACTGGTGAGTGAGTCTGGGGAGTGTGTTGACTTAAAGTATTTAATAAGTCGTCAATAATTGAATTGCACATTACATGGTTGTGCTCTGTAAGTGAAAAACAGGTTACAGTTACAGAATTCCTTATAGCTATGCAGTTTTATAAGCAACCTGGATTGAATGTAGCAGGTGATACAACATTTGTAATAACCACGAGAGACTTGAGACTTGACTTGGACTTGTGAGCATCTCTGGTCCACAGATATTTTAAATGATTGCCATGGTGATGCAGGGAAGGAATGCAGGACCAGGGGTGGACATATTTGGCAAGAGTGCTGCTTCCACCTTCAACCACTCAGAGTCCACTAGAATCCACACACCTCATCTAGAAACCTAAAATAAAACCTAAAACCAACAGACTACTGCAGGTCATTGTTTATTTTAAAATGCTGAAAAGAGACACTAATAATTGTAATTGTTTTTTAAACCAAACACGCTTAAAACTTTCTAAAAAACATTTCAAGTGGATACTAACCCCAACTTCGGTTCCCTCTCTGTCCTGTTCCCCATCATCCCCTCGCTCCACCCCATGGCCTCCATCCACCAGCTGTCAGACAGGCATGCAGGCCTCGGTGGAGATGGACAGACAGATGGATGGAAAGCAAGAGGGAGGAGGCAAGGGATGGATGGAAGGAAGGAGGAGAGGGAGAGGTGTGACCCATATAGCAGAGCCTAGAGTATTTATAGAAGAAAGTGTCCTAATTGGCAAGCCGCTGGGAGAGCAACAGCACTGCATTGGTACCCTACTCCTTGTCCTTCACCTCCTCAACCTTCCCTTCTCCTTGTCTTCTACGTTTTCCTACCACCTCGTCCTCTTGACCTCTTTCACCTACCAGAATTTGTCTTCTCTAAGACTTCATCGCTCTTTCTGCTGCCTTCCACGTCAGTGACCTACTCCTCATCTTTTGACTTCCACCTCTTACCCCTCCACCTCTTTTGAGTCTCTCCGTCTTTACACAGCTCTCTCTAGTTTCTCATCTTCAATTTTTATGCTACTCGTTGTCTTTGCCCTCTCTCTTCCACCTGAAACTTCTCATCCCGGCCCTCCTGTCCTCCATCTTCCTCTCTTCACTATGGCTGCGTCACCCATGCCCCATCTTCTACCCTCTCTTTGCTTCTCACATCAAGTTTAAACAAGTTTTCTGGTGGCAGAGTTAATATACTGACATTTTCTTGTATCTCAGTGATACTTGATGAAATGCTTGAAATAATAAGTTTAACTCCAGTGATCACACAGATTCAGTATATTTTCAGATTCAGTATAAACTATTTCATATTAAATCTTTTAATTATAGAATGAGTATGACGATATGGCAGTGCTATGTAGGTTCTTGAATTTCAAGATCAAATGACTGATGATAATGACAAGAAATACTAAAGATGTATGGATGAAAACATATAGTAAATTCTAAAAAATATGGATGGAGGGAAGGAAGAACTCACGTAGGAAGTACTCGGAAGCATCCGCCTCATAGTCAGCATCCTCTGGGAAGTGATCTATCTGCTTACACATGCCTTTAAAAGATCCTGTGTGAGATCAAGAGAAAGAAAGAAAAAAAGAAAGAGAGGAGGCAAAGTTATGAATAAAGTCACAAGTCAAAGCATTTAAATGAAATGATTAGACAGAAGAAATAACAGTTTAAAGGATGTACTGTATATGTAAATGTGTGTTTGGTGTGTGCTTATCACAATCCTTTGCCCAGCTAAATCATCACTGTAATTGCAGTAAAAATTAAGATAATGACAGTGAAGACAAGAGGAAGGTAATCAGAAAGTCAGCAGTCAGAAAAAGGTCAGGTTAAGAAAGGGGAGTGGAACTCAAGAAAGAGTAAAAAGGTAAGAAAGTGATGGCGAAAAGAAAAGAAGAAAAAAAGAAGTAGGTTAGATGCAACATTTGAGACAAAGGAAATAAAGAGAGGAAGAAAGATTTGTCATCAGCTTTGAAGAAATGCATCACAGGACAGAAAGTGACAGACAGAAGAGGAAGAAGAAGGCAGGAGGAGTATTTAATTTAAACGCCTCATCAGAGCAGACAGGAGGGTGAGGAGGAGGCAGGAGGAGAGAGTGAGCAAAATGCAAATGAAAGAGAGGAAGAAAGGAGAGCTGATAGTGCCGCTCATTAAGAAGAATTGTGTGTGTGTGTGTGTGTGTGTGTGTGTGTGTGTGTGTGTGTGTGTTCAGCTCCAGTGGTAATTGTATGCCCTCCCAAACCACTGCAATTAAATGGGCCCTTGTTAATTGCCGATTGAAGGACGAAAGACTAGCATCGGTTACACACACACACACACACACACACTCGCACAATATGCCTCACACTTACAAGCACATACACACAAAAAACCAATACACACTCATATACTTTTGCATCAGCCCTACTATCAAGAGAACTGGCTGTCTTTCTCACACATCACAGTGAGAGCACTTACGACTAAGTTTACAGACACTTTACATTTTCATCATCATCACCACTGAGAAAAAGCTTTTTTTTTTTTTTTTACCAAAGCTCAACACATAAAAGTGAATAAAAATGATGACAGAACTTTACCACAAGCCTGTTTCATATTTACATGTCTTTTATACACTTCAGCAAACATGCAGGCGAACAAAGTGTTTTTCATCAGGTAGGCTTTGATAGAAACATTAAAGATATTTCGCCAGGAAGCGGCTCGAAAACCTTTCAGCGTGCTGCAAAAAGGCTTTCATCATTTTATAATTTCAGTGTGAACTGTGTAGAGCTGTGTGTAGAAATTCTGTTCCGTTCCTGAGAGGACAATGATGTGCAAAAGCACTGCGTGTTTCAGGTGAAAATAGCCTCACATTCACATTGCCTCTTGTCTCAGTTACTTACTGTAGCTATTTGTTGTGCAAATGTGAGGGATACTACAAAGTTGAACAGTCTTGAAGTATGCTGTGTGTATGCAAGAGGCTTTTAGTCAAGCATAGAAATAAGGTGTAGATGTGTAAATGTCTCTTATGTTATGTAGTTTGACCTCCAGTGACATGAAGGAGGTCTGAGCTTTTCTAAAAGACTGAGTCACGTGGACATCACTAGGATTGAAAGACAGGAGGCTTAGCAAAATCTTTGCACTCGCATCTCTTGTTACTGTATTAGAAGAACACTTACCAGTATGTCAAAAGTAGTGAAGAAGCCAATATGTTAAGACATACTCTGTTCTCCATTTCTCCTCTGTTGAACAAAAGTTACTGTAATGTTACATGGGTGTCTCTTTGAGCATTAAACAATTAATTTCCTGCATTCTGGTGATTTTTTTCTGCACCAATTTCTGTCTTTCCTGCATCAATTTTTGGTGGAAATGTTTTTATTTTTGCAAAGGTGGCAGGTGACAAATCAAAATCTAAAACTCAACAGAACTTAAATCAGTGCAGCTCTTAGTCATTCTGTGTTGCTTTCAGATATGTTACTCCTGTAGATCAACTTTCTCATGTAATATTATCCCTGCTGAGTCAGCACACATGCACATGAAAAAATGTTGATATAATAAAAGAATTTTGTCCAGTCCATTTTTGAACCAGATTTGGCACTGGTACCACAGCTAGCTTCTCTCATTGACCAGGATTCAAAGAGCTGCTAACACTGGTTGATTAATGTTAACTTAACTGTAGCTAGCTAGCCTAGCAAAAATGTCAGAGAACTCTGTTATAAGTATTAACATAACAACATAGTGTAAGTGTAATTCAATGATGCAACAAAGACGCATTTAAAAGACGCATTCACTTAAAAAGCGGCTTTAGAATGTGAGCACAAAAACACACCTGAGCAGCAGGTATGCTAAAATGCTTTGTTTACCTTGCAGTATTACGGCAGCGCAGCAGGCGCGAGCAGTGAAAACAAGGAATAGGATTTAACTTATATGGAGTCTAAATGAGCTGTGTGGAATGGATTGGAAGGAGCAGCAGTGTGAAAGTGACGGCTGTAGAATGGAGTTAAATTTATTAGTGCATTCCTGAAGTGGAATGGATTTGATTGACGACGCTCTGAAAGGTGAACAAACAGATACGCTGAATTACAGACAGTAAAAGTGAGTGGGTCCAATATCATTGGTCCACCCACATACAATGGTTCCGACGCCCATTAAATGTTAGCTTTTAGACACATCAACGCTGCATGTGGGGAATTCACTTAGGCCAGACTGAGTTCTTCTATAGGCTGCTCATGTAAATGTGGGATGAAGTAATACCATGTCTAATTTCTCTCTCTATTAGATAAGTTGTAGGTCCAAAGAATGCTATTTAATTACAGTAATTACTCTTACTGCACTGTGGATTGGTTCAATCAGAGTGTGATTTTTGCTCTGTAGTTTGGTTTGCATACAAACATTTACACGTAAGCTGTTGATAAGGATCCTATTTAAAGTGGCTACTGTCTGAAATTAATAACCTGATGGTGGGAGCATTAAAAGATTTGGAGTAATGATTACTATATGTATGGATACAAGTATGTATGATTGCCTTTATTTTATTATATTTTCCTGTGTGTATATCTGTGGGTATATGCTCATGTATATCCAAGCCTACATTAAGGCAACATCTGCCAACAAATGCATAATGTTAGAAGAAAACAAAACAGCCCACATTTCCTTAGACCTGTAGACCACAGACTGACTGTAGAATACTACTGACCTGCAGACCACTACTGACCTCAGAATCAGCTGCCTTGCCATCCTCCTGCTTCTCTTTCTCTCCCCTAAAATATCTTCAATATCCATCTGGTCAATGAATGGAAGGATATACAACAGCATTAACAGGGACACTATGACATTTAGTTTTCACTGACAACAACATTCTATGGGGACTGATATTGTTTTGAAATAGGCTACTAGAGATAGGTAAAATGAATGACGTTCACATTATCAACACTAGTGTTTTCTATAGCCAACTAAAATATCTCCTTTCCTTTACCTCAAGTAAACGTTTCTGAAGTTCAGCAAGTAACAGTCACTAACAGCAATTTACAGTTTCACTCTGAATCACTCACTACACTGAATCAATCTTCCTTTTACCATGTCTGTGTGTGTGTGTGTGTGTGTGTGTGTGTGTGTGTCTCTCTCTGTGTAGTAAGTGGCGCTGCAGCTCAGCAGAGCAGCGATGACCCTCAGGGTCCTAGTGCCTGACCACAGCAGGGATTTCAATTATGAAGCAAAGGAAACAACCAGGATTATTTTAAGCCAATAATTACAAATTCTATTTGTATATTTCAATAGTATTTATAAATATTCGAGTACGTGTCTGCACTGTATCAAAAAAAAATTTTAAATGTTGTAAATGTAATTATTTTTCTTATTATTCTTTGGGGGGCTTAGGACCATGTTAGGGTGGCTTCAGCCACCTTAAAATACGTCCATGCTGAATCATAAGTATCAAAAAACATTACATCATTACTTGTTCAGTTCAAGATTTGTTACTGATATATCTTATTAGCTTTGTTTTGAGATAATGGCATCTATAAATAACAGGATATTACCAGTTGTTACGGTGAGCTGCATGCATGACATGACCGTTAACACTTGATACAGTTAATGTCACATGTCAGAGAGTTATTGACAAGCCACAAACAGAATGTCGAGGCGGTGAAAAGTACATGACCCAATCAGAGAGCCAAACGTGAGCGTCTGTGCCCGTCCTCGGTAAAACGCCACCCGGAGATTTAAAATGTACAACGGGGTCGGCAGCGTTTTCCAACTTCTCAGTTTTAGGTCTTCGTTTTTGTCGTTTTAATCTGGACGGGAGGTGCAAACGTAGCAAAAGGTCTCGATACGAAAACGCATTAGTGTAGATGGTGCCTCAGTGCTATGAGGTAAATAGAAAACAAAATATGTAAATAGAGATGCGTCATCCATCTGCACCACTCTTGTGCTTTGAAAATGTAGAAAAATAAGAAGCAAACTTCGACTACAGTGCTGACACGTCTATGCATTGAAAAATCATGGTTCTTGTGAAATGTGACACAGACAGTGTTTTAGTCTGTAATAATATTACTTTTCCCAGTAACTAATTACTTATTATTACTAGTTACAAAGGCAAGTAACATTGTCGTCTATCGTAAACTCTTAGCGAGCAGCAAAAAGCTTTCAACTGCGAACATTTCTACATCTGATTTATTGAAGCATCCGCTGAAGCAGCACAGCAACGTGAAACTTGAAAGAAACTCCGGCAGCTGCTGTCACTGATGCTTGGACTCGTCGGGAGAGAGTGCTACGTAATGTAACATTTTGTAACTGCTGAATAAGGCTCTTATAAAAAGGCTACATGTGCAGTAAACCTCTGTTTAAAAGTCGGGATTTACTTATTTTTTTTATTTCAGCCGGTGGCGTTAAGAAACGTAGGCCTAGGCTATATGCTTTGTAAAATATGCTTTGCCACAGGCTTTTCTTTGGTTGCCAAAGCTCTGAATTGGCCTTCAGTTTTGGATTGACAAAGATTTTACCATGTTTCTTTCACAACTGTCAACTTTCATCTCAGACAAAATTGCACAGTGAGAATAGAGCCTTTAGTCACAAACTTGGTGA